TTATTGTAATTAGACAAACTTTTTTTTTAGGACATTATCTTTGTTAAAAAAATGCTCCTTATTTTGTAATTGAATTTCTTCTTTAAATAATACTAATAAATACACTTAAGTTTTTTATGATATACACATAATTCTTCTTTATAATGTCAAGTCTTTTCTTATTTATTGATATATTCAAAATATATTGTATTAATTTACATATGTTTTAGCATTAATGAATAATTTTTTGGAAACTTAGAATTTGTTGTCAAAACTTGACTTGTTTCTCTCAACTCAAATCTTTGTTCTTGGTATCTTTTAAAAGTTGATTATTACATGTATGATTTATTTAAGTTGAATTTATATAGAAATTGTAGATTTTTTTCTATCAAAGATACAATTAAGTAAAAATACTTCTAAATAGTAATATTTCTATAAATCCAATTTGATTAAATTTATTGTGATATCTTAAAAGATATAATCTTAGACAAAGCTTGATCTATTGTAGAAATCTTTAAAATTTTGATCATGTTCTATCAAACTTTGTCAACATATTCATCCTTGCCACCTTCATACTTATAGTAGGAGGACTTCTTGGATTCAATTGTGAGAATGACCTACTTGCTTTCTTCAATTGCACAATTTTCTAGCATAGATATTAGACCTCATTCTTGACTTCTTTCATATGTATAGAAATAATATCTTTATGATTGATGTTGGTAATATAAGGAATTTATCTCCTAAAAATATTAACAAGCTCATAGTAGTGTGTAATAGTTGCAAATCTATTCTCACTTTTGTGAAGAGTAGTATCAATAATTTTTACTTTCTATAATAAACAACTTAAATAAATCTACAAGTCAAAATAGAAGAAAATAGTCTTCAATCTTCAATCTTTAATATTAAATAAAAATTTCTATAAAGAAGAGTAGTTTATTATCTTTAAAGAAAATAAATATTAGAAGATAAAAAAATATTAGTTAAAAAGTAGATGTTTTGCAATCTTTAAAATACCATAAAAAAAATAAGTTAGTCTATTTATTTTTTTAAAAAAAATAAGAATATTAAATTTACATTTTTGTCATACTGTCATCAATATGAATCATAAAGATTCTAAACTTCAATACATTCATGTGTTATTTAAAAAGAATAGATAATTACTCAAAGAAGGTATAATATTAAGACTAATATAACTATTATCAAAGCCAAGAAGACTAGAAACTTTTCAAAGAAGACTAAGAACAAGAACAATATTGAGAAGAGTAAGAAATGTCTCACTCTTACCTTTATATATATTATCTTACTAAAATCTATATAGTAGTGTTCTATAAGACCTCCAATATTTATTTAAATTTCAAAAAAACTTCAACCAATATGTATTATTTTACGTGTGAATCACATAGCCAACTTCAACCACAAGTCACTAATATTTGCAACACGTAGCCAACTTGTTAGCCAAGTTTTCAACCTATCAATCACCTAAAATATATATATTAAGTCAAATCTATATCTATGAAGCTTATAAGAAGTTTCTTTATAATATATTATCAAATCTACTTATTTCTATTTTTTTTAATTCATTTAATCTAAATAAATATTCATGTTTGTATCATAGATTTGTTTCTAGTATTTTTTTAATTTTTTTTTATCTTTTAGATTTTTGTATTACATAATTTATTTTAACAGAAAAAAATAATAATAATCTTATAAAATATTTTTTATTATATTTATTAAAAAACTAATAGTTTAGCTTAATCATCTTATATCTAAGTAATATATTTTTTATTTCTTACAGCCAATAATCTAAGTTCCTAATATTTCAAATCAACTATATCATTTTTTTTAGGTTAAAAAGACTAATATAAAAATATTATTATAAATATTCATATAAAACTTTGATTCAAAATTAAATTAAATTAAATAATTCATAATTTAAAAATAAAAATATACTATTTATATATAAAAAAATATACTATTTATATATATAAATAACAACATTGTATAAATTAAATTTTAATATTATCAATGAAGTAATAAAAAAAGATTATATAGATGAAGGTTATACTGTTGCTTAAACTTTTATTTACAAGTATCAATAAAGTCTTACATAAAAAAGAATTAATTTACTTTTTAAATACGTCCTAAATTATTTTTGATTCAAAAATACAAGGACTATGAACAAATGTTGTATACTTTGTATTAGAATATTGACATAATAATCTATATTAGTAATTTAGTATACAAAAAAATATAATAATTAGAAGAAATTTAATCTAATGAAAGAATCTTATACAAGAAACATATAAATAATCTAACAAAAATTAAATAATAATCAAAAAATATATAATTTATTGAATTTAAAAATAATAGATACTCCTTTAAGTATGATCTATGTTTTTTTTTTAACTTTTTGCAAAGTAAATTATCCAATTATGTAATGAAAATAATCAAATTTAAATAATTCTAAGACTAATGGTTTTTGTTTTTGTTTTTGTTATTATTTTTTTTTCCTACAACTTGTGTGAGATATCTTATTTTCTTCATAGAAAATAAAATTTCTTTTACAATGCCATTTCTACAAAGCCTTTATTGTCCATAGACTACTCTTTTATTTTATTGTTTTTTTCTCTCAATATTATTTTTTTTCTTTTAACATTTTTTTCTTCATCTTCAACCTCATCAGCAATTTATAATTCATGGAAATATATTTATGTTTTGCAATTCAACCCCATTGATCAATGTGATAGATTTTTCTCCTTGCCACTACCATGCCTTTGTTTTGCCACCCCTCTATCACCCAAGTATTGTACTTCTCAATACTGCTTCTCTTTCTTTCACAATTATTGCTCCAGATGTAGGATTAGTATTGTGTGCCCACTTGTCTTTACTAATCTTCTTTTCTTGTTTATATGCCATAAAGCAAGATAATACACTTCATTATTTTGTTTTATTTTGTTAACAAGTCGTGGGAAAGTGCCTTTGTTGCTGTTGACTTTACTTTTGTGAATCTGAGTAATAATTGATTGTTATTAATAAAATTCTAACAAGCACTCTTAATTCAAATGTGGATTTGTAAGTTTTTTACTATAAAATAAAAGAGTCTACAATTTTGATTTACTGTTGCAAATTAAGCTACAATTAAAATGACTTTACAAAAAAATAAATAAATAAATAAAAATGTTCAATAAGAAATAGATGTCTTTTTTATGAAAGTAGTTAGTACAAAAATTAATTTGTTATATATACTTTTCAAGAATATTTTACAAAATTCAATACTCACCATGTGGATTATTTCTACATTCTATGACTGTTTTAAAATATTAATCTTTATGGTAAAACGATCAAACCTCATTATTATTAAAGTAAATAAAAAAGTTATTAGTATTTTTCAGGCCCTGAATGCTTAAGTTAATTGTAGATATGACATGAAAGTTTCACACAAAACAAGGTAAATAAAAACCTTTTAACATGTCACTGTTGTTGTTAGAAGAAAAAGGAAGGAAGAAAATAAAAATAAAAAAGAAAAAGAAAGAAAAAAAAAACTAAAAAAAAATCTTGTAAAAACAAGATTGATATACTTGTTTCAGTAGCATTATAAATGTAAAGAAAATTGGGTTACTTTTTTTCTTTTTTTCTTTTAAAGTTGTAAGCAAATGAATTTGTATCACAATAATGATTGATGCGGAAAACTTTAAGAAAATTGGAAAAATGTGCATAACCATCAAAAGCAAACCAAAATAATTTTAAAAATTAAAAAAAAAAAAAAAAAAAAAAAAAACCAATAAGATCAATTACTGGTTTTTATGATCCTGTTTTATAAGATAATGGAATATTTTTAAAAAATTCATTGAGGCATTCAAAGTAATACTGCATCTTTTTTCATTCAAATTCTACCTTTAATCCAAGAGAATATTATTAATGCAACTAAATAATATTCACTATACAGTTTGACAAGTATCTCTAGCTCACTAGTAGTTGAGTAGTCAATATTTAAAATGAATAAGAAATATGTGAATCAATATTTATTATACATCAGTTCTTTCAACATCTGTTTCATGCTGTGTTTTGAACTTACTGTGTACTTTGCATTGTTGAGAATATAAAGGTCTTTTACATTTAGGAAACCTCCATGTTTTAAAAACAATTCTAAAAGAAAAACATTACAAATATATATATATATATATATATATATATAATTTAGAATGTGGATGCTAATAATTGGAATTCTTTCACGTTGAGAATGAGATTTCAAGTAGCATCTGATGGGGTTTCAAGACAAAAAATGAAACCCACCATATATTTGATAAAAAAGAAAAAAAAAATGTGGTTTGCATAGGTGATGAAGAAAAATCAAATTCCAACTCAATTACTTGACAACTTTTCATGAGACAGAGCACCATTATATCACCATTATATCACCCTCAAAACTAAAAAAACAATAAACACACAACTACAAGAAAAGAAAAGAAAAGAAAAAAAAAAAAAAAAAAAAAAAAAAAAACCCACACACACACACACAAACACACAAACACACACACATTATTACAATTGTTTAATAAATAATATTATAGATCTTTCTGAATTATAAGTATAAATTTAGCGAAATAAATAAAAATAATTAAAAATTATCCCTAAAAAAATATAATTTCACACAAATACCCTTGAAAAAAAAACAACGCAACCTTCTCTTTTTTACAGCAAACAAAGAACAAATAAAAATAAACACTAATCACGTAAGTTTTGACGTATGTTTTGATTCTATACAAGAGAATTTGCGATAACACAGGTTGATACCCTTGAACTTAATCATACCCGGGACACAAGTGCAAGAGACCTTAGTGATACCCGTCCAGCACCCGCCTAAAACTGCGACGAGCAGGGGACCGTGCAATGCCGAACATGGGCATGGCACGTACGCATGCAGAAACACTTGGCAGGGGGTGATTGGGGAGACCCAGTACACGTGGCGGGGGCGTGGCTGCGGCTCACTTGCAGTGGTGGCAGTCGCCGTCCGTTGTGGCTTGTGAAGGTCGTTGTTCGCGAGGGTCCTCTGCTCAGTTTTAGACTTAACGGCGCATCTCCTCACGCCAGAAATCCAGCCATTCCTCGTGGTTACTGACCCGTCTCTCTCTCTAGGGCTCGCCGCTGGGTTTCCGACGCGCTTTCGATCATCGTGTTTGGTGGGTTCTAGCCCCAGAAAGGTCGATCCGGGTGCGCAGTTGCTCCCCACTCCTTCCCTTGTGAGGGAGTCTCGATCTTCGTTGTTGGGTGCTTGCATTCCGCTGCGTTGTGAATCTCTGGAGTGGGGTTTGAGTTTTTGCGGCTTGTTTTGGCTTGGTTTTGAAGCTTGTGAAGCACAGCCATGACGAATGGGCAGAAAGAGCCACTGCTGGCGCGCATCGGCGGGCCAACGCTGTTTCAGGATGTCGGGAAGCAGGCGAAGGATTTGGTGACCAAGGGATTCGTGGGTGGGCATACTCTCATGGTGTCGTGCATTGGTCCGCGCGGAGCGACTTTCACCACCACTGCCACGATTGTGCAGGACATTACGGTGGGGATTGTCCAGGCTAACTTCCTGGAAGGCAACACTACGCATAACCTCTCCTTCGCTACCACGGGCAACCAGGTATTCGATTTTTAGATTGCTTCCGTTTCGTTTTCGTAATTCCCCTGTGCCATTCGTTTAGGATTTTGTTTTGTTTTGTTTTGTTTTGTTGTGATGCATTTCTGGAAATCCTCAAATTCAGGATTGTTTGTGAGGGGCTATTGAGTATGGCGGTTCGTAGTGTTTAATCGTAATGTGTCGGAACTTCTGTTTTGCAAATTTGAAAATAAATTGGTAGAGGGTAACTTTCCGCCTTAAGTGTATTTGGTTATTTACTGTTTAGTAGGACCCGTAGGATTCATCACAGAACAGTAGAAGATGCAGTTTCAATCATTTGTTTGTTTCTGTATGTACACGAGTTTCTATTACTAGAGCCAATATTTTAAGATTTTGGTCAATGTTCAATGGTCTTGGTGGTAAGTTCATAAAATTCCAATTATTTGAGATCAATATATTAACGTATTCTTTATTTTATTTTATTTTATTTTAAATGTAAGCAGTGAACAACATCAAACTGTGGTCGTACACTAAACTTTGTGTGAATTTTGTTGATTGGTACCTTGTGTATTTTGTTGGTTTTCGTTGTTGAACTCGTATATTGTAGCTCCGTTTTGATTTAACTCCTGATCGATAATTGTTTAGGAGCTATTGACATGTGGGTGTTTGAAGCTTTTGACAAGCCGATTTCTTGTTTCATTTATGGTTGATGGGGTACGGAGTGTCATGATCTGTGTGGCACTTTTAATAATTCACAGTTAGCAGGTGTTGAAAGGGTACGTTGTATGTAGATTACGTACTTTCAATCGCTCATTGCGTGGTAAACCTGCGAATTGTCGCTCAGTGAGAGCAAGAAGGAATTATGTTAATATTGATATAGCCTCTGATCGTGGGATTAAAAGCATCTGGGAAGTTCTAAATCTGTGGAACGAAGGCTGCCGGAATCAGAATATCAATAAGTAATTGACCGCTGAAATATCATGAGAGAAATAACAACCCCGTTTCATGCTGCTTGGAGAGCTAAACCGGCTGAGGACAACTCTTTGTTGGAATTCAAATTACTCATTTTTATTTTAAGGGTAAAATTCACTAGCGAGAGAAACTATGAAATTATTTTAGAGAGCTTATTAGGAAATTAAGGACTAATATCCGGTGACAATCGTGCCAGTCATTTGCATTTTTTACCATCTTATATAATTAATTCTTCTACGGGTTTTTGCAGATTCAAGCCCAATCAACCATATCAAACTTTGGAGTGTCAGGATTGACCGCAGGTGTTCAGACAAGTTTTCCTAACGGCGAGAATGGCAAAGCCCATGTATATCAATGTTCCAACTCTACCTTTCTGTGTCACGGAGCACTTAATTGCGTTATAAGTTGTCAAATAGGGTGTTTGTGAGATCGTGTTCCATTACTTCATCTGTTGTAGGATTACCTAGGTGTATTTTCTTATGTCCATAGATTTCTGTTTACTTTGTGACAGATCACCTACTCGCATGATTTTGCGGCTCTCCACGCCAAAATTCATGGATTCAAAGCTGCACCTGATCTTGAATTGTCCGCAAATTTGGGAAACAAAAAGCTCTTTGCGGGAGGTTCGTTGTTGTACAACACAGATTCAAGAAACATTAACATGACTAGAGCTGGTAGGTTTTCCGAATTGGAATTCCAACGTTTCTCGAATACCAAAATTTGCCTTAATCATCTTCAAAATTCTCGCATCACTTCTTTTTAAAATGTTTTCATCAGTTCATTTATATGCCACTAGCGGCTTGATAACATTCTCTAACACCCCCTTGGATGGACATTAGAAATGGCATCCGTGATACCATTCTAATTGGAGTTCGTGACAACCTTAAAATGTAGAGGATAGATGAAAGGAACCATGGATGAAAGCACAATGAAAGGTCTCAAAAGTGAAGCTAGGTGGCTCTTGTTCCTTAAATCTCGCTTCTTTCTTTGAATGTTATACGAAGAAGCATACGGTCATACGTGTTTAACTGCAAGAGCAGCATGCGGTCTTATGTATCTGAAGATGTAAGCTATCATTACCGATACTGTTTTAGTTTCGGATCTTGATATTGATGCTCATGTTCCATGACGGTTTATGATGCGCAGGTATTGGGTATGCGACTGAAGAGTTCACGGGATCTTTGATTGTCGACCCCCTCATTGAAAAAAGTTTTGACCTCTACTTGACGCGTCAACTGTCACCAAGATGTCAAGTTGGTACCCACATCAGCCGCTTATACGAGAAGGGGCTCACCGCTGCAAGGGTCGCTGGATCATACGTCTACAACGGACAAACCACATTGAAGGGACGGTTTGATGATAAGGGTTTGGTTGCTGGCCTTCTGCAATTCTCTCCCAACCCTCTGGTAACATTCAGTCTGCTTGCTGAGGTGAACTCTAGAGACTTGAAAGCTCAGCCAAACGTTGGGTTGAGCCTGTCTTTCCTCGCCACCTGAACTGCAGCAGTTGTCTGGAAATAAGGTTCAGACATGGCAATGGGTTTAAGTACAGGGTGCAGATGACGAGCAGTTGCTTCTGGTTTTTTAATAAATCTGGAAGTGTACTGCAGGTAGAATTTTCACTGCTTTAGTATTTGGCATAGAAATGCGTTCGAAAATAGAATTCGACAAACAAATGGCTTGATGTGCGGGCCCCACTTTTATGACAAAATCTCATCACATTCAATGGTGAGGTTCTCAGTAATCCTTTGTAAAGGCAATTCTTCTTTCAAACCGAAGTCTCTGTTGCCTGCTCTGATTTATGTAGGGTTGTGGCTTTTGAGTAACTTATGACACAGGTTCTGCTTGTGCTACCGGATCAGATCTCTGAAACCATAGGATTTAAACGTTCACAGTCGCATTCAAGTATTGAAATGAAGTAGATGCTGTTTGGATATGGAATTCGAACAATCGAAACACGCTTCGCGGACGCGTTTATCTCCAACTTCGGCTGTTGAATCCAGTTGCTTGTAGAGCAGGATTTCTAATAACTGTAGAGGAATATACCAACTGCACTTGATTTGAATTGCCTGAGAACTAGTTGTCATTTCCCATAATTTCCATGGGAATGCGAAATCTGAATTTGCTACTTTGTTGTATAAGAAAAGAATGTGTGTATGTTAAGAGTGTTTTGCATGAAAGATTAAAACGAAATGGAATCTAATTTTAATTAAAAAAATCTTTGAAGAACTATATACATTATTTGCATCGTGATTCATATTTGTTTTACGTACTACTATATATTAATATGTTGCTTTGACATGTTTTCAAAAGAAAATAAAAAATATTCAAAATATATAGAGAGAGACAGATTTTATAGGACAATATTAATTCAACCCACCTAAATCTTAAATTGACCCAATTGGGTATAGTATTTTCGATCTAATGGTGGGTTTGCCTTCCATCAGTGCAAATTACCTCATTGCTTGTGATCCCTTTCGTTGCTTCTTTTAGGGTATCACATTTTGGAAGCCCCCAAAGCATTTATTTATTTATTTATTTACATTTTAATAAGGTTGAGGTGAAATAAACGTCATCTAATCTGGTTAACACATCACACCCTCCTACAATAAACAATAGAATAAATCTTACATCAAATACCATGGAAAACCAATAGTATTGTATCTAAATAGATCAATTTAAGATTAAGGCGGGTCAAATTAATGTTTTGGTAATTCAAATATCAAATTCGAATACACACACACATACATATATATATATATATATATATATACACATACATACAAAATTTGGCTTGACTTTCATATATGTAATATAAGTTAAAAAAATAAATATGATTAAAGACCTAATGACCATAATATTAAAATAACAATAATAATAAACAATTCTTATGATTAGTAATTATGGATTTGATAATTGAGAATAAACCAACACATGGAAAAAACCACAATGTTAAATTTTCAGCAAAGATTATAACACAACTCACACAAATGCATGCATGAAGTAGGATATACAACAACAATGATACACTACCATTAAACTTCCAGGTGGTTTTTTCTTTTACAGTTTCATCTGTAGCTTCTTTACCAAACATGCATTTTACCCAAATTCTAAATAAGCATATATAAATATCCCACACACCAACTATGCACAAACAAAGAAGGAAAAATAAAATGTCGAAATATCAGTTGGATAAATAGTAATAATAATAATAAAATAAATAAAATAGAAATGTAAAAACATCCGCACGCACCCTTCGGCACTTGGTCGACAGTCCACAAGACGACAAAAGCAAGGGTTTTTGTCGCCTAGCACCCCAAATTAGGGTTACGGCCCCGTCACCGAAGTTTGTGCTAGAAGGTTTTTGCGAGCTTCGAATTTCGAATCGATTTCGCGACGTCTTCGCAGAGCTGGTGTCGCATCGCATCAAGCCGTGGTGGGGGAGAAGTAGCGATGGCGTGCGATGATTGTGCGTGTGGCAACGTTGCCAAGGAATTAGACCAAGCGACGCTGCGAACGGATTGCTTGGACGACGAGGAAACGCTCCGATTGAAGGCCCTCAAGGCCACCGGTGGGGAATTGATCCAAGGCGATGGTGTCAAAGGGATTCGCGTTGGTGGGTGGTTCATTCAGTCGCGGAAGGGCCCGATTCTGAAAATGGGGCCCCGTGAGAAGTGAGTTGTTTGCAGAAGAATAGAAAAAGAAATTTCCATTCCGTGTTTAGGTTGAGTTGTGTGTTTGGTTTTGTTTGTAGTTGTGACGATTGAGTATTACGGCAAAGTTTATATTGCGCGGAGTACTGGAGATATGATGGGACGAATCATGATTTGGGTCATTGCGATGAGGCCATATGGTTGTGAGTTGTTGTGGTTCCGAATATGTGGTAGATCAAGTGTGTGTGTGTGTGCAAGTGGGGTTGCTATAGGGTTATGATCTGGGCAGAAGGCTGTGTTGTTTGAGGACAGGTGGGAGAAAATGCTGGGAACAATTCACTTACCTCAGATGGTATTTGGTGACAATTCTTTGGAACTTGTCCATGAAACCTCGGGAGTCAAGATCCATTTTAATGCACTGGATGCACTTCGAGGGTGGCGCCAAGAAAGCCTACCTCCCGTGAAGATTCCTGCTGCGGCTAAGTGGAAGCTCCGCACGTACGGTTTGTTAGCTCAAATGTTACCTGAAAGATTCTTCTAGCATAGCATGTTTGTCTTTGTTTTTAGACAAAATTCGTATCCAGAAAATATTTTAGGCGGCAGGATTACCTGTCGTCTGGATGATAGTTTACAGTTACTACGCAGTATTCTTCAGCTCAAACTGTCTAGTTGTACAATACCCGACATATAAGAGCTCGCTGCGAGTTTTTTTTTCCTTTGTGATGGATTTATTTTGGATTCTGGGCAGATTCAATTAGAATTTTTGCGGATTGACTGCGTACTGTGTAATGCAGAAAACCAGATGAGCAAATCATATTAAATTATGATTACACATACACAACACCTTATGCTGGAAGTCAGTTTGTTCAAGAGAAACAGGTTTATACTTTCTCATTTCTGATACATAACCTTTTGGTGAATCTCTAGCAATCTGATTTCCCCTTTTAGGTACTCGTTCAGCATTTTTATGATTATTGTTGTGCACGATCTTGCAGTTATTGATTACGTTACATCTTGTATGACGTTGGCCATAGACTTACCAGTGGGCCAGGATTATGCCTTTCGCAACTATGTTCAATTACGCAGACTATCGCGATGATCGCAAATTTTTCTGTTCCAACAGCTTTTGTGGTGATTGCTTATTGCATGAACAGGGCGATGTAAATACAGCAGTTGAGTGGGTGGAAAGCCAAGAACGCATTGATATGGCTGCCCTACAAGCCAGGGATCCAATTCTGTTCTTCGAAGAGGTAATCTTAGCACTGTTTGGCCCGAATACTGTCAAATGAATAAAGTGTATTCCCTTTTTCATTTGAAAATGAAACATTCTAGATCTATTCGTGTACTGAAAGCTTGATTAATTTCCAGCTGAAAGTTTAATTAATTCCCAGCTGAAAGTTTGATTAAGGTTATACAAACAGGTTTGATATATTGAAACAAATAGGAAATCATTGTATTCTGGCATACACGATACTTGTTCGAGAAGTTGTAGCTGAGTTTAGCGAGAACAAGATATATATGTTTTCCCCCATTTTGTGTTCAGATCGTATTTAAATGAAGTCTTGACTCCTGTACGTTGGAATACCTTCATCTGGACTTTTTAAAAGTTCGTCTATCTGTTCTTGTTTGTACAGGTGGTGTTGTATGAGGACGAGTTGGATGATAATGGAATATCGCTTCTGACTGCTAAAGTGGTATGCAGTTGATGTCATGCTCTGTTTTAGAAAGATGAATTCAACTTATCTCAATATGACGTTTATTGATTTTGTTGGCTCATAACCGTTTAAATCTGGTTTTCTTACTGGATACATGGATATCAATCGCAGAGAGTAATGCCTAGCTGCTGGTTCCTCCTGCTGCGCTTTTGGGTAAGCTTCTCACGGACTGGCTATATTCAAACCAGATTTTAAGCATCTTACCAGTGATTGTTTCCTTGGTTGCGTGCAACCAGGACTTGGTTACAACACACAATATCTTTTTGCTTTATTAAGAATTTACACAATATCTTTAATTTTCTCATCCACGTTTGTAATATTTCTGCAAGCGTGTTAATTCGTCAGTACGCTGTAATTGTCATCAAATTAATCGTGCTAGTGCTCTCTTTCTATCATTAGTATTGTGCATAGGACCCATAGTACGTTCTGAATGCCACCCATTGCTATTATCTGTTGACAGATGCGGGTTGACGGAGCTCTCATTAGACTGAGAGACACGCGTATGTATTGTCGAATCCAAAGGGATTCTACCGCACTCCCCGTGGTCATAAGGGAGCGCAACATCAAAGAGGATACTTTTGATGCCTTGGTTTCGGTTTGTGCTGTTTCTCACGACCTTTCTGTTTATTTGGGGAAGTCCGTATTGTGTTGCATGTATCTCATGTTTACCTTCATCCCCCTTAGCGATCGCACTTTGGGCCTTCAAGCATGTACATCAAACTAGTTTTTTTTTCTCTTCCGACAGATTTGAACTTTTAAAGCGCACTGAACGACATTTCTTCAAACGTTGCATTTGTAAATCTGGTGATTTATTTCTGTTGGTAAACTTTTCTTATTAGCTGCATTCTGATTGTGGTCGCAGAAAGGTTATCCACGTGATTCAGCTATGTATAATGACCCAACTGTAGCAAGCGAGAGGCTCACACAGATATACCATAGTTGTGAGAAATTGACGCTGAAGTCCAATACTGAATAACTCCTGCCGCACCTTGTGGAGTCCAGATCTGACAGTTCGTCGTGCAATTGAATGGTCTGGTTCCACACTTGAAAACCTGAGGTAGTGCATTTGAACTTAAGGCTCAGCTTCACTGTTAATATTGTTCTTTGTATGGCGAATCACATGACCTTTTTACAGATTTTCATTCAGTTTAGAGTATAATCATGCCTCTATTATTTCAATTGTCTAGCTGTAGTAAGTTTACCATCATTTTAGCTCTCTTTATATCTGCATCATCATGACTGGCTGCCTCAGATCAGGAAACTGGGGTTAGTTAGCAATGTCCAGGTGATTTGCTTATTATTGCTGTTGGTAGTGAAGACGAGATTGGGTCTCAGCTGGTGTGATTGGGAGGATTCACTTAGCACATCAACCTTGTGCACGGTTCCATCAACACAGTAGTCACTGTAGTCAGTCAGTTACAGTACTTCCAAGAACAGTTCAAAAGATTATTAGTTTCAGCGTTTGTGCTTTGTGATGAGAACCAAACTCCTCGGTTTATACATTGAAAGTGGCGTGATCATGCCCCAGGAAACAGTGCATATAATTTTTGTAACTAAATTTGTTCAAAGATTAGTGTCATGTATTGTACAGAAAGGTTGCTTCTTTCTAACATTCAGTCCATGAATTTCACTAGCAAAAATTCCAAGAACAACCAGGGATGAGTTTTTTTGGATATTTTTAGCAAGATGTTGATGTTTTGGGATCCTCAGAGACATTTAACTGAAGGTTATGTTGATCTGATAATGTTTGTTTTCCAGTAATGAGCCAGCTCTCTTGGCACTGGTCTAACTTCTATATTCTTAATGGCGAATGTGCTGTCGTGCATGATGACCTTTTTAATGTAATATTTACTTTTCTGTACTGTTATCCGACTAATCATTTATGACTCACAATGTGAGATACTCTTAACTTTTAGTTTGTTTTTTGAGATACTCTTAACTTTTAGTTTGTTTTTTGAATGCATGTAATACAAATTATAATAATAATAATTGAGGAGAGAATCATATAATGAGAATAAGTTGGTAGTAATATAAATCTGGCAAATAGATGAAAATAGATGCAATCAAGTTACTAATAAGTATATATGTTAAGATTGGAAGACATAACATTTTAACTTATTGTAGTGTATTTGGTGTTCCTTTGTCGACTGACATCATCTGTTGCAAGACAAAGAAATAATTATTAGAGATCATTAAGCATCAAAGATAGTGAATTGAATGTAAGATGGAAATCATCCACCAAAGCCTTACAAATTAAGTTGCTTGTTTCTACTTTTGCCAATCACATGTAATCATATGACCTTTGTTAAGTAATAAAAGTGAAAGAAAATCAATTGTCTATTACAAATTAGAGGTTATGAATTATGTATCATAGAACAAAGTTGGTTCTCAGAATTTAGATTAATTATTGAAGAAAGCATTATATATGTACATGTTTTACAGCAATGATTATAATTTTTGTTAAAAAAAAAAATCACAAATTTAATGTGGTAAAGAAAAAAAAAAATTGAAAATTAAAAAGTTGCTTAACAACAAAACCATTTAATGTAAGAACTTTTTCAAGAGCTAACAAGATTTTAGACAATTTAAGCAATACTTTTGTATGACATTTTACAAAATATTGTTAATCATTATTTTGTTTTTTCACTTAAAAATGAATTATTTAAACTAAGTAGGAATAACTGTTATACAAAGAGTTATATTATCTTAATCACCTTTGTCTATTGCCAAGTCAATTAGTACTTAATAGCATCCAACTTTGAATGACGCAATGAGAGGTTGTACATTTATATTTAAATTTATTAAATTTAGGTTATATTCTTCTATTAATGGGATAAGGAAGAAATTTATAAGAAAAAACTTAGAAGGAACAAGCTATTTTACCTTAGGTCACTATTTTTTTTTATATTTATTTTTTTAATAAACATTATAACTATCATCTTAGAAAAATAAAGTTGTATAATTTTAATTGACATTTGAATTAAAGATCAAGACCATAATTTGTTTTAGTATTAGTTTATAGTTAAAGTTATAGATTTTTTTTGAAATTTATTATAAAATTTATTTTAAATAATAAATTAATATTATTTAAAATATTGATATTTAATTTTTTAATTTTTTAATTTTTTTTTTCTAAAATTAATTTTAATGCAGTAACTCACTTATAGCTTCTTGTCATGAACATACATATTTACCTAGATTAAAGAAATTAGATAGAAGTAAGTAGAAGTAAACAAATTTCAAATAGCTCGTTGCCTACATAATTTCTTTGGTGGTATTTGCTTCAAATAGTTGGAGGTATTGCCATATATAAAATAGACATTGGCATACATCTTCTTACCTTGAAGTCCCAGAGTATGTATTGGGCTTATTCAATTTCAACTTAGTAGATGTCAACTCCCTTGTTCTAGAGGTTTCTATTTGCCCTTGCACAGTAGCTATCTAACTTAGAAGATGTTGTATCCAAGTTTTTATTTAGGATTTCTTTGCCATATCTTCCATGCTATAATTTCTTTATTAAACTTTGTTAATGTAATGTCTTTTCTTCTTCCAATTGACTTCTTAAAAGTAGCTTGTTGTAGCCCCAAAATAATACTTGATGTGATCACAATAGCTAACCTTCAAGTAAATGATGAGTATTAACATACTACTAAAGAATAGACTAACACTCATTTTGATATCAATGAAATAAGATTGGATTATCTCTAAGATCTAAGATCCTTTCAATCTATAGCAACATAAATCTTGTTACAATGTGAGACAACATAGATCAAACAAAAACTAAATAGAATTAAATAAAATGGAACATGAAAGGCAAAATAGAGCTAAAAATAATAAAGTTGAATTGAACAAAAAAATGTAAAATCAAACTTTATCAAGAAAAAGGGACCAAAGCCATACCTGATCAAGTATCCAAATGGCCCTTGTCAGTCCTATTTATAGTTTATTCAACCATTTAGGAATTTTTTAGAATATTTCTAATGATGGATTCTATCTAAATAACTACCCTAAGTCCTTTTTAGAATGTTCTATAGAAGATTCTATATAGACCACTAATCTAGTCTCAATTTTAAAAACTTCTAAAAACTTTCCAAACATGGCTCCAACTACCTATTTCTATGTATCAATAATACAAATATCTTATCCATATCTCATTACAATAATCTTCCATGTGATAATCTTGCTGATTGATTGGTGGATAAGTTCAATACGTAGTCTTTTTTGTGGAGGCCTTTGAAGATGGCACCCTTGAAAAAAAAATTTAGACTAATAGAAAAGTACATTAGTATTTTTTTTTACTGATTTTTACCATATCACACTATATATTCTATTGTTATTTTATGGTGTAGTGTAATGACTTTCACTACACCACACGTTCATTTTACAAATCTTCATAACAAGCCTTGTTGCATATAAATATTACAATTTTTATTGCACACAAATATCATGAGCTTCATTATGTAAAAAAATCCAACCAAGTAAAGTTGGTCTAGCATTTTTTTTTTAGAATCATTATACTGTGAAGGTAATGGCTAATTTGTTAATAAGTTGATCTTATAATGCTTCTCAAAATTTCGATTCTTTTTTATTTCTAATATTTAGACTACTTCTATAGAAGACTTAGTTAGCATTGCTTGTTTTATTTGTAGCTTGATTTTTATATCTAAGACTTGTAGTTTTTATATTTCTTTAGCTAAATGGCTTCTTCTTTGCATGTACTTGAGCCTCCATTCTTTGCCAATTCTTTAGTTGTTTCTCCCTTGGCCAAAGCTTATGTAAAATTTTTCTTATAATTAATCTTTTGAAGAATGTATAAAATACTCTTTTCTTCATTCAATACTAAGCTATGCAACAATTATTCAACATCCATTGTAAAGAGATTATGTCTTCTTGCTTTGTCCATACATTTAGTTCTAATACCTCTTTGTTCTTTGTTTGCATCATATTTACTTCACTTTAGAAGTCTCTCTTTTTTGCTCTTAAAAATTCTTTAACAATAGTTTTTTGATTGAAGCAACCAAATAAATCTTTCTTATCAAATCTTGCAACTACTATGTATCATTGCTATATATTCTTTAACTACCTGACCTTGCCAAATTAGCCTGATTCACATTTGTAAATAATGAATAACTCAGCTCAATAATGGATCTATTAAAAAGTTATCTAATAATCAATCAAACAACTCTAGCTTAAATTATAGTATATCTTCATGGCTCTTTTATTCATGAATAGTTTTTTATTAAAAATTAAATATTCAAATATTTATAAAAAACATCATCAAAATTATGCAATTCTTGTGAAAAATTAATAATTTTATTATTTTATCATTTAGTCTCTATATATGCCTTGTCTTATTATATACTTATTGTATTAAAAATAATTCTTTTGTTAAAGTTTATGTTTTTTCTTTTTCTCTCATTTTTTCTCTTTATATATATATATATATATATATATATATATATAGATATAATAAATTATATTTATACAATTCTTACAAAAATAAAATTTTGACATATTTTAAATAAAATTATTATAAATTATGATTCATAAAAAGTAGAAATAATCATGAATATCAATATCACATGTTCTTCAAAAGAACATCAAATCTTTGAAGAAGCATGGTTTTATGAACTCATTTATAGATAACAAGTAAATACTTCATCAATATGCAAGTTTCATATAAATATTGATTGGAACAATTACTTATATATATATATATATATATATATATATATATATACATTTAATTCTAGAATTCTTAAAAGAAATTTTAGTATAACTTCATATAATCTTCTAATATAAAACAAATAAGTTTCAAACTTTTTATTATAATTTTTGACAAGAAAAAAAATTAAAATAAATGATTTGTAAAAAAAAAAATTTATGTACTTTTATATATTATTTCAATAAAAATTATTATATGATATATATAGAATTGGTATTTTTTATATATTTATAATTAAATAAAGTAATTATATTTAAAATAAATATTTAGATTTTAGTTATTTATTTATTTTTTTTAATAAAGGCTTATCTTTTTTTGATCATGTGTCATGGATATCTGTATTTATCGCAATAGTTACTTATATAATTAGGTAGAAGTAGGTAAATATAGATTAATTTCATAAAGTCTTCTAAATAAGCTTCTTAGAAGCTTCATAGATGTGGTTTTGACTTTAGATATATTTGTAGGTTAGAAACTTGGCCAACAAGTTAACCATGTGTTAGTAGCTTGTAGAAAAAATTAACTCCATGTAATAGCTTGTATAATAAGCTAGTTATGTGGCACATACATAGATAACTTGTCTTGCAAGTTAAAACATGTGGCTAGTAAAGTCAACACATGTTGGAGGTCCTATAGAATATTGCCACGTAGCTCCTAATTAGAGAGTATATATAGAGGCAAGAATGAAGCTTTCTTCACTTATGTCAATGCCTTTCTAGTCCTTAGTCTTGTTTCAAGATTTTTTTTTTCTTCTTTGGCAATAGACATTCTAGTTCAATATTATATCATCTTTCAGTGACTGTCTAGTTCTTTTCAATGATATAAGAGTATATTGAAGATTTTTTTGATATGGGTTGAAGAATAATGTCAAAGAATTATTATTGATAATTTCAAAGATAGAATATTTAAAATATT